GCGTCTGACTTTGGCTCAGGTCATAATCTCACGGTTTGTGGGTTCGAGCCCTGCATCGGGCTCTGTGCTGATAGCTCAGAGCCTGGAGCCTGCTTCAGATTTTGTGTCTCCCTCTCTCTGCCCCTGGTTGGCTTGTGTTCTTTCTCTGTCTTTCAAAAATAAATAAATGTATATTTTTTAAAGTTTGTTTGTTTTTGAGAGAGAGAGAGACACACACAGAGCATGAGCATGGGAAGGGGCAGAGAGAGAGAGAGAGAGAATTCGAATCAGGCTCTAGGCTCTGAGCTGTCAGCACAGAGCCCGATGCGGGGCTCGAACCCACAAACCGTGAGATCGTGACCTGAGCTGAAGTCGGAAGCTCAACCGACAGAGCCACCCAGGCTCCCTGAAAAACCAAGTCTAGCAGGAAGGACCCAAAGGCAAAGAAGAGCCCGGGGATAGACACAGACTCTGGTAGGGAAGAGCCGTCTCTAGAGTGCCTGTCTTCAGTCAGGAGCCAGGTGTCACTATGGCCTGGACAAATGTGTGTGTCAGCAGCTTCTACGCCTGCCGCAGCCACTGGGTATCTGGCTGGCACTGAGGTATTTCCATCACTGCAGTGGGTATCGCTGGCAATTCTGTCATGATACCTCAGTCCCATGTGACAGCTGGCTCTGGCTGTGCTGATACTAGTGAGAGTTTCGGCCAGTAGAGCAGAGGACAGACCATTAGAGTGCCCCTCCCCCCATCCCCACAATCCTGTGACATCTGGCCAGGAAAGTGGGAGGGAGGGTCAAAGGTCAGACGCAGACTTCTCCAGAACAAATTTCAGTGTAACCTGCTAGATGAGATTCAAAAACACATCTTCTAAATAAAATCAATATTTCAGAGTTCCTCAGGGAACAAACAGGAGCGCTTGCCCTTAGATCAAATCCAGGTTCTCAAAGAACAATTGAAACAATACGAAGGACGAATATAGGGCAAATGGATGTGTTTTCAATCAAAATGAAACAATGGAAATAAAAACAAGGGTGTAGACCTGGCAGGCACTGGAATCTCTCCTCTCTCTCCTTATTTAGAAAGCTCTTTTCTCCTCCGACAGAGCACTTAGCCAGAGGGGGCCGGATTGTGTCTGCCTCCCACCCAGAGCATGAGAGCCTGTTTTATCTGGCCAATTGCACAAGGGAGAGTAGACCGATGTGTGCTGAATTAATGGCTGACTGATAATAACAGCAAATATTTATCCTGTGCTTACAAGGGCCAGGTGCTAGGCTGGGCACTTTATGAAGATGATCTCAGTCAGTTCCTTTTATAACAGTTTATTGGGAGGAATCACTAGCCCCATTGTACAGATGAGAAACTGAGGCTCAGGTGGGTAGAGCATCACAGAGAAGGGGCTGCCTCGTCCCACACTCTGAGAGTGGTGCGTTGTTGAGAGGCATGGTTTATGGGTTTAATCCCATTTCAACCAGCCCCAAAGGCCACTCTTTGTCTTGTGTTTTGTTTTGCCTGCACTAAAAAATGCTTTACTGAGGAGTGCTCAAAGGGAGCTGGCCCTCAGTTGGGATTTGGGATCCTTTTATTTCCCAAGGTTTTTTTTTTTTTTTTTTTTTGGAGAGCGAGCGAGCATGAGCAGGGGAGAGACAGAAACTTCAGCAGGCTCCACACATGGAGCCTACTTCTTTATTTAAGCAATTATTTAATTATTTATTTGAATAATCTTTATGCCCAACATGGGCTCAATCCTATGACCCTGGGATCACGACCTGAGCCTAAATAAAGACACGCTCAATTGACTAAGCCACCTGGGTGCCCCTCAAGGTTTTTTTGTTTTTTTTTTTTTAAATAGCTTTTAGTGAGGGGAGCCTGGCTGGCTCAGTCAGAACACTGGACTCTTGATCTCAGGATCCTGAGTTCGAGCCCCATGTTGGGTGTAGAGTTACTTAAATAAATAAACTTAGGGGTGCCTGGGTGGCTCAGTGGGTTAAGCGTCTGACTTCAACTCAGGTCAGGATCTCACAGTTCATTAGTTCGAGCCCTGCGACGGGCTCTTTGCTGACAGCTCAGAGCCTGGAACCTGCTTTGGATTCTGTTTCCCTCTCTCTGCTCCTCCCCTGCTCAGGCTCTGCCTCTCTCTCTCAAAAATAAACATTAAAAAAATAAACTTAAACCCAGCTTTAGTGAGATATATTACACATATCATATAATTCACCAATTCAAAGTATAAAATTCAGTGGTTTTAGGATATTTGAAGATATGAGCAACCAGGACCCCGGGCAATTTTAGAACACTTTCCTCGCCACAAAGAGAACTCAATACCCTTGGTTATCATTCTCTATCCCCTCCATTTCCCTCAGCCCTAAGCAACGGTGAATCTCCTAGTTCTGTCCCTGCAGATTTACCTATTCTGAACACGTTGGGTATATTGAATCATACAATTTGCGGTCTTCTGGGACAAGTTTCCTTCATTTACCATGTGTTCAAGGCTCAACCACGTAGTTTCATACTATGCATCAGCCCTTCACTCTTTTTATTATGCCTGAATAAAATTGTTATGGACGTGCCATGTTCCCTTTGTCCATTTATCCTTTTGGGTTAACTTTTTTTTTTTAAGTTTATTTATTTTAATAATCTCTACACCCAGTGTGAGGCTTGCACTCATGACCCCGAGATCAAGAATCACATGCTTCTCCAACTGAGCCAGCCAGGTAACACCACCTTTTGGCTAATGTGAATAGTGCTACCATGAATATTAATGTAGAAGTTTTGGGTGGACCTATGTTGTTTTTTTTAAATGTTTATTTATTTTTGAAAGAGATGGGGGGAGGGGCAAAGGATCTGAAGCGGGCTCTACGCTAAAAGCCTTGAGCCCAATGCGGGGCTGGAACCCAGGAACCAAGAGATCATGACCTGAACCGAAGTCCAGAAGCTCAACTGACCGAACCACCCAGGCCCTCCTGGACCTACATTTTCAACTCTCTTGCATATATACTTAGGAGTGACATTCCTGGGTCACATGTTAACTCTTCCAGGGCATTTGGTGGAAATGCTTAACTATTTTACATTCCCATCAGAGACTGAGAGTTCTGATTTCCCCACATCCTCAGCAACATTTGCTATTGTCTTTCATTTTAGCCATAGTAATGGGGGTGAAATGGTACCTATTGTGCTTTTGCTTTGCATTTCCTTAATGCTAATGATGTTGAGCACCTTTTCTTGTGCTTATTGACCATTTGTAATCTTGGGGGGGAAATATCAGTTCAAGTGTTTTGCCTATTTTAAAGGTATTTGTCTTTTTTGAGTTGTAAGAGTTCTTTATGTATTCTTGATACAAGGCCTTGAAATATAGGATTTGCAAATATTTTTCTCTCATTCTATGGGTTGTCTTTTTACTTGCTTGATTGTGTCCTGTGTCCTTTGACGTACAAGATATTTTATTTTAATGAAGTACAACTTAATCTATTTTCCTTTTATTTCTTGTGCTTTTGGTATCATATCAAAAAAGCCTCCGCCTAAGCCAAGGTCACAAAGATTTACCCCTATGTTTATTTCTAGAAGTTTTCAGAGCTGCATTTGAAAATTTTTATTACAAAAAAAATTTTTTTAATTATATTTTAGAGAGAGAGCGGGCAAACGGGGGAGGGGGCAGAGGGAGAGAGACAATGTTATGCAGGCTCCGTGCTGAGCATGGAGGCTCCATCCCACGACCCTGGAATCAAAACCTGAGTGGAAATCAAGAGTTTGAGGCTCAATTGACTGAGCCACCCAGGTGCCCCCAGAGCTGCATTTTTTAAAAAACTGAAGTGTAAATAACAGTGTTAAATTAGTTTCAAGTGTACAGCATAATGATTCAATAGTTCTATACATTACTCTGGGCTCATCATGAGTACCAGAGATGCACCTTATTTTTTTATTTTTTAATGTTTTATTTACTTTTGAGAGAGAGAGGCAGCAGGAGCAAGGAAGGGACAGAGACAGAAGGAGACACAGTATCTGAAACAGGCTCCAGGCTCTGAGCTGTCAGCACAGAGCCCTCCCTACACGGGGCTTGAACCCACGAACCGTGAGATCATGCCCTGAGCGGAAGTCGGATGCTTAACCAACTGAGCCACCCAGACGCCCTCAGAGATGTATTTTAAATACAGTACTCCGCTCTCTGGGCACCCCCCACCCCCCAGCAGAGCCCAAGCTCTATCCCAGCCACAACTCTCCACAATGCCCCCACCCTAGTCCCAAACAGGCTGCTTACATTTCAGCATTTCTGCTTCACGGTTTCATATAGATGCAAATGCGGACAGGCGTCCAGGCAGGGACAGCTTGAAGGTTCAGGAAGCAGGCTGGTGAAAGAGGCGGTGAGTGTCACACGCTGGGTCCAAGGCTCAGGACTAAGGAAGCACCTGCTGGGGCCAACAGCCCCACCTACCTTGGCAGCTGCGGTAGGTCCTTCCAGGGGAGGCCGGGCCCCCCGCCGTCCACTGCCACCTTCAGCTTTAGCAGTTATGACAGCGGGGCCACTATAGAAAAGGAGCCTGTAGAAAGCGACTCCCTGGTCTCCACCAAACTTGGCTTTCCTCACCTCAATTTACGCATCGTGCCAGGCCACCCTCTCCGAGACCCAAAATCAGGATCTGGTGACCTCGCACAGCGGCAGAACCCTAGGACCTGGGAGAGCCCTTTGGGGAAATTCAGGTCCCCTGGATGCCACTCTGCCGCTCTGGCTGTGGGTGAATGGCCCGGCCGCTGTTGGCAGCACAGCAAGGGGCACCAGGGCCAGGGAAGGGCTGCTCAGACCTTCCAGTCCAGCCAATACCAGTCGAGCGGGCACCCGCCGGCCTTTTCCAGGGTCCGCCGCCTTCCGCGGTGGGGGTGTGGGGGGAGATCCCAGCCCGAGCGCCCAGCAGGTGGCCCGGGCCGCGCTGCGCCGCGGGGCGGGCCCGGCGCGGCGGGGGCGGGAGGAGGCCTGCGGTGGGGGCGGGGGGCGCGTGCAGGAATGCGCGCCGCCCCCGCGCGGCCCCGCCCCGGGCATCCCGCGCCGACCTGGCCTCGCTGCAGGGTGAGCATCATGGCCGCTTGGAGACAGCCCCAGGCCGGGGAGCTGCTGGCCCAGGCCCGCAGAGCGTTCCGGGAGGAGTTCGGGGCCGAGCCCGAGCTGGCGGTGTCGGCGCCGGGCCGCGTCAACCTGATCGGGGAGCACACGGACTACAACCAGGGCCTGGTGCTGCCCATGGTGAGGGGCCGGGCGGGGAGCCTCGAGCCTCCCCAGCGGCAGGGCAGGCCTTTGGCGCGCGGGGAGGTGCCTAGTCCCTGCGTGGGTGTCGGGCGGCCGCGCCGAACTTGAGCCGTCCTGCCCGGGGTTGGGGGGACGAGCACGTGGGAGAGACCCGGGGACGGGGTATTTCCCGCGTTGGAAGGGAGGAAGCGGGGGATCCGCGAGGAAGTAGGCTAGGAGGGGGGTGTGCCGGCGCCTCTTCACTCAAGCCCGCCCTCTGTGGACGTGATCTTCCCCATCACCCTGGGAGCCGCCTCAACTTGTGCGGCTCCAGTGTGGCTTGCGGGATGGGCGCGCTTCGGGCTTTGGCCTCTGGGGGCCCCAACCGCAGACCTGGGGCAACTAGCCTCAGAGCTCCTGGCCCAACCCGTTCAGGAAGAAACTGAGCCCAGAGAGGGCTAGTGATTTGCTTAGGGTCACACAGCTGGTTCTTGGTGGGGCTAGAGTCAGGCCTCTCAGCTCTCAGCCTGGGGCTCTTTCCGCCTGGCGCGGCTTGGCAAGTGAGTGGGTCCAGCCCACCGGAGACCGCCCCAACATGAGAAGGCATCAGTTGGAGCTCCTCTGATTTTCTTACCCTGCTAGGTGCCCCACAGCTGGGAGCCCACGTTCAGGGCAGAGTCCAAGTCCACACTTGTGCAGCACAGGCCCCGCCCTCGAGGACCCAAGGGCAGGACCCAAGCCCCCAGGGCCAGCTCAGCACTCAGGTTCTTCACTGAGACACCCTTCCCCTCCTCTCAACCCCCCCCCCCCCCACGAATTCCTTTCTTGTTGAGCCTCAAAAGGAATCTGCCTGGAACTTTTTATTCCTCAGAACTTTAGTATCAGAAAAGCCTCATCCGTGGGTGGGCTGGCAGAAGCGTTACATGCTCCCTGTCTCTCCTGCCAGGCGCTGGAGCTTGTGACTGTGCTGGTGGGCAGCCCCCGGGCAGACGGCCTGGTCTCCCTCCTGACCACCTCCGAAGATGCCGATGAACCCCGGCGGCTCCAGTTTCCGCTGCCCACAGCCCAGCGGTCATTGGAACCCGGGACCCCCCGCTGGGCCAACTATGTCAAGGGAGTGATTCAGCACTACCCAGGTAAGGGGACTAGGTCTGAGTCAAGTTCATGATAAGACTAGGATCACCACCTCTCCGCTGCAAAGTTCCTTAGCCGATCAAATCCACCATGGGGGTAACATACAGGCGGAGGGTACCCCTGTTTTACAGATGAGGAAACTGATACCCTGAGAGGTTCCGGAACTTGTCCTGAGCTGCCCGTTATATGATTAGCGGAGCCAGGATTCAAACCCCTAGCCTGTTGGCCTCCAGAGCCCTAAACCAGGAGGAGAGTTGGGAAGACTGTGTCCCAGGAACCTCAGGGTAGGAGGATGGAGACACAGCCCTGGGAGCAGCTATCAGGCAGCTGCCTCCCTTCGTAACAAAATACATGTCCTTGGTGGGCCCATCGTCCCAGAGGACGTCTTACCGTCACCCATTCTTTCCAGCTGCTCCCCTCCCTGGCTTCAGTGCGGTGGTGGTCAGCTCAGTGCCCCTGGGGGGCGGGCTGTCCAGCTCGGCGTCCCTGGAAGTGGCCACGTACACCTTCCTGCAGCAGCTCTGCCCAGGTACTTTCTAGACACCAGCACTCCCTCCCTGAGGTTTCCTTGTGGTCAGAGATTCTTCCTCTACTGTGGCTTCGGGAGGAGGGAGGGGAATCTCTCTGGAGTGTCGCTGGACCTCCCACTGCTCCCACACGCCCCCCCCCCACCCCCCACCCCCGGGCCAGCCAGCCACCTCACCTCCCCCTGTGCCGCAGACTCGGGGTCCATAGCTGCCCGGGCTCAGGTGTGTCAGCGGGCCGAGCACAGCTTCGCAGGGGTGCCCTGTGGCATCATGGACCAGCTCATCGCACTGCTGGGGCAGAAAGGCCACGCGCTGCTCATTGACTGCAGGTCAGGGGCTCCCCTTGTACCCTCCCGCCTCATCACGAGGAGTTTCTGGGTGGAGCGTGCCCACCGCCCGGTGTGGCAAGCAGACACTTGGGCTTGTCATCTCCCCACTCCAACTCCACGCCAGGTCCCTGGAGACAAGCCTGGTGCCGCTGTCAGAGCCCAAGCTGGCCGTACTCATCACCAATTCCAACGTCCGCCACTCACTGGGCTCCAGTGAGTACCCTCTGCGGCGGCGCCAGTGTGAAGAAGTGGCCCGGGCGCTGGGCAAGGAGAGCCTTCGAGAGGTGCAGCTGGAGGAGCTGGAGGGTGAGAGCTGGCTGGGCATCTTGTGGGGCGGCCAGGCCCTTGGTGTGCCCTTGATCATCCTGTGTATCCCGTCCTCTCCAGGGGCCTCTGCTATGCTCTGCCCACTCTCCCTAATCCTGCACACCTAGGGCTCCAACCTCAGCAGGCTGCTTGAAATCTTAACGTTGTTCTTTCTTATAGGAGGATTACGCTTTCTCTGTGGAAAATGTAGGAAAACACACAGGAAAATAGTGAGCTAGAGGGCCGCCACCCAGAAATAGCAGCCACTGCTAAAACCTCCAGTTTTTTCCTACATATGCATTTACAAAGTGTAGTACAGGCAATGCTGGCACTTGCTTTCTCTTTTACTAACATCTCAGACCCCTCTCCTGTGCCATTAGAGGCACATCGTCAGCAAGGCTTCTAAACTGCAGCATTGAGGTATATCATAACTTAATCATTTTCTGATAACCACATGTGACGCGGTGGTGAGAGTTTTCATACACGAGTCTCTCTCTTCTTAGAATTAGATTCTTAGGAGTAAGATTGCAGAGGCAAAAGATGCACATATTTTAAAGGTTCCTGATACGTACGGCCGGGAAGATAGGATATGTAATAGTTTGAGGGTCAGATAAGTACGACCTCACTCTGTCATACTGTGTGGATCAGATACTCTCATTACTCTCATCGTCTTAGATGAGGAATCTACAGTAAGTGGCTGTGCTGAGACTCGAACCAGGCATATTAGTCACCTATAACTCATACTCGCAGTCATGGGGCCAGGCTGCTGGCCTTGGGAGTTGTGCCCTCCCTGGCAGTGTGTGGGTACCCATTTGGGGGACTCTGGCCGGCTCTGTGGGACGGGCTTGACCTTCTCCTTGGTGAACTGTCACGTTCATGCCTGCCCCGCCTCCTCTGTGCAGGTGACCTTAGCGGAGGTGTTCACGCTTGAGCACTTTGGCCTTCCCTCCTCTCCACTGTATCCCTTCCCCACCACTGCTGGGGGTTGGGTGGGTGGGGTCTCCCCCACCTCGGGGACAGTGCTGCCCTCTGCCTTCTCCAGAGTCCTGTACCGAAGCCCTGCTTTCCCTCCTTCCTGTCCTCTGCCTGGCTCCTCCCCTTCTGCTTAGAAACGTGGCTGGTTTTCTTCCCTTCTAAAATTGAGTCATTTTCCTGTGCCCATCTTGGGAGAACTAATGCTTATGACCCCCATTTTCTTATCTCTATTCATTTCTCGGTCCTCTCAGTCGGCCTGCACTTTACCCCTGCCACTGGACACAGCAGCGCTCCTGGGCTCCCCCCCACGTTCCCGAGGCTTGCATTCCCTCCCCCTCAGCGGCCAGCGGCTCTCTCACAGTCGTTTGCCTGTGCACGCCTGCCCCTGGCTTTGTCCTCAGTGCACAGCACCAGCCACCATGGCTCCGCTGAGGACTCAGACACGAGCCTGCAGCCCTTTGCTTTCTCAGCTGGCTCCCCCCCCCCCCATTTCCACCTGCAGTCCTGGAGCCTGGACCCCCAAGAGAACTCATCTTCCCTTGTCCCCTATAGGCTTCTCCTGCTGAGCTCCCCTTATCTGTGATTTCCTCACCCTTTTCACTCCTGGTTGAAACCTCAGTTCCCTGTGTCCTCACTATCCCCCCCCTCTCTTGTCTCCAATCTCTGTCTCCCCTCCATTCCTCCTTCCCCCGCAGCATGCCCCTCACTGGTTTCTGCCCGGGTAACAGCTGCTATCTGGGTTGCTGTCCCCTCCCAGCTCGGGCCCTCTGCCCAGGGCAGTCACTTTTGTCCACAAGAGCTCAGCCCCAGCCCTGCCCTGCTCCAAACCCTGTGTGGCATCCAGAATGAAGGAGCAGAGTCCCCCGGTACCCTGGGCTGCCACTACCAACTCGGGTTGCTTTCCCCACCTGAGCGTTAGCCAGCAGGACAGCCTCTTCCTGGCGGGCCTGTGCCCTGCCTTTTGATCTTTGCCTGGGCTGTACCCCAACTCTGGAGCCCCAGCCCTTGGAGCCTCCCTTGACGCTTCAGCGTAAACGGCGGCAGGATTTCTTCTCTCTCTTGTGCTGCCGTGGACCCCTGAAGGCAGGACTGTGTCCCCCTCACCTTGGAAGCACCGAGTGTGGGGCTGCCCCTGTTTACTGAGCACCCACTGTGCACCCGGCACTCTGCTGGCATGGGGGCTCTACACGTGTCTGCCCCCTCCGTGACTAGGGGTCCCATTGTATAGTGGAGAGAAGGCTCCAAACTTTAGTCACCAATGCAAAGTTCTGCTTACAGCTTTGTCAGAACCCAGTCTACGACTGGAGGCTCCTCCTCCCCACCCCTTCCACTTGCTTCCCAACCCAAGGCCACCACCCTGGTGACCCCACCCCTCCATCTGCAGGGGCCCAGAGGTGGTGGGTGGCAGGTCTGACCCCTTTCCCTTCCCAGCTGGCAGAGAGCTGGTGAGCAAGGAGGGTTTCCGGCGGGCACGACATGTCGTGGGTGAGATCCGGCGCACGGCCCAGGCAGCAGCTGCCCTGAGCCGCGGAGACTACAGAGCTTTCGGCCGCCTCATGGTAGAGAGTCACCACTCGCTCAGGTGAGGACCCCTGGGTGCCTGTATCTCCCAGGCAAAGGCTGTCCCCAGGGCAGGGTGGGGACCAGGCCTAGGCCCACCCTCTCCTGTATCCTCTCTGCAGGGACGACTATGAGGTGAGCTGTCCAGAGCTAGACCAGCTCGTGGAGGCCGCGCTGTCCGCACCTGGGGTTTACGGCAGCCGCATGACCGGTGGTGGCTTCGGTGGCTGCACCGTGACCCTGCTGGAGGCTGCCTCCGTTCCCCAGGCCATGCAGCACATACAGGTGGGTGGGTGCCAGTGCCTGGGGGCGGGAGGGATGGAGAAAGGGGTTCCCAGGGCCCTGCCGCGCTTAGACCCCACCTGCCTCTCCCACAGGAGCAGTATAGCGGTACCGCCACCTTCTACCTCTCTCAGGCGGCCGATGGTGCCAAGGTGCTGCACTGGTGAGGCGTTCCCCGGGATGGCACCCGGTGGGCATCGGGCCTGCCAGGCAGCACGTCACCAAGCTCCAGGTCTCTGGCGCCTCCTGCCCTCCGCATCTGGGTGCTCAATAAACTTGTGCCTCCCACCGCAATAACCCGCCTGCCTCTAGAGGTTGGCGTGTGCTTGGGGGTCAGAGAAGCGGGGGGTCAGAGCCGCTCCTCGGCTCTGCGCAGCCCTCCCCGGAAGAACAGACAGGGCCGAGCCGAGCGGCAGCATAATCGTTTATTAAGTGCAGAGCAAAGCTGGGTCCTCATCGTCTAGTCTTAGCTCTTTGGTTACATACAAACAGGTTTGGGCCTGGGGTGAGGGAGTAGCGGCCCAAAGGGCCATCTGAGACCTCTGCTCCCTTCCTGCCTCCAGAGGACGCCTGCCCTTCTGCTCTATAGTCAGTTGTGCTGGCCCTGTGACCAGCATGGGCATGTGCTGGAGCTTTGAGGGGTCCAAAGATGGAGTAGCTGAGGCAGAGCCAGGGAGAAGAGACAGGGTGGGGGTCCAGGTTCCAGGCACTGTCGGGTGGGGGTTGGGGCGGGGGGGGGCTCAGGTCTGGAAGAACTGTTGGTCCACCTGGGTACTGAGGGTTCCACTGGTGGTCAGTGTCCGGCTCACAAACTCCTGGGTCACATGTCGGGTGAGGGAGCCACTTGCTTCCAGACGTTGGGACCCCAGGGTCAGTCCATCTGCGGGGGAAAGAGCACTGAAGGACCCTGCCTGGGGCCCTGTCTCTCCTGCTCTGTTAGCCCTGTGCTCCCCCAGGAGAACAGGACCCCTTGCCCAGCAGCTCACCCAGGAAGAAAGGCTCCGTTGTGCTGGTGTGGGTGGTGGTGATGCTGCTATACTCGCCCGGCAGTTGGTGCTGTAAGAGGCCAGGGTGGCTGCCCAGTTGTGGGAAAGGGCCTGGCATGGGCAGATGAGCCAGTCAGGGATGGTGCCAGGGGATGATGTGGCCAGAGAAGGGGTAGGGGTGAAGAATGGGCAAGCCACCCTACCTCCGTCTTGGGACTCGATGGTGATGATACCCTCACGCTCTGGCCCATAGCCTTGGGTAGTCTTGGCCTGCACCTTGAACTTGTAGGGCACGTTCTCACTGAGGCCCGGCACTGTTAGCCGGCTCTCAGGGCTGTCGCCATCCACCAGGAACGTGGTGGCTGGCTCTGGGTGGGGGAGATGCCTTTAGCTTCTGTGGCTCCCTCTCCACCCCTCCCCTGGCCACCCCTGATGTGGGGGCGGGCAGCACCTCCTCCGTGGGCCATCTCACAGGTCACCAGGTAGCCGAGGATGTCCCCATCGGGCCTGCGTGGCCGCTCCCAGCTCAACTGCAGCGAGTCTGGGCTCAGGGCAGTAAACACCAGTGGGCCCGGGGCGCTGGGTGTGCTCAAAGTGAAGGTGGAGCCTGGGAGCAGCAGAGCAAGAGCGTCAGTGTGTGGGTGACTCGGGGACATCATGGGGGCAGCCATGGAGGGAGGAGTCAACTCACCTGGCAGGGGGCAGAGTGGGCTCTGGGGGTGCACCTGCGACTCGATGGTGATGACACCCTCGCGCTCTGGGCCCCAGCCTTCCTGGCTCTGGGCCCGCACACGGAACACATAGGAATGGTTGGGCAGAAGGTCTTCCACCACCACCGAAGTCTGGCTGGGGCTGGGGATGTGGAGCCGATGCAGCTCCCCTGGGGAGGGCAGACAGCCAGACGGTGTCATTCCTGGCTCTGGCCTGATCCCACCCCTTCCCTAGGCTGCCACTGATCATCACTCACCCAGGATCAGCTGTGGTTTGGGTACCACCGGTGGGGATCAGCCTGGTATGGTGTGGCTGGTTGTTTAGGTTGTACACTACACAAGGATGAGTGGAGCCTAAAATCCCACCTACGTTCTGTTTATGGGCCCAGGTCACACTGCTGGGAGTTTGTCTTTCCAGGGAAGCCCTGCTTCCCAGTTCCCACAAATGCATCTCGCAGGCCCGTCCCCCTGCGTCAGTGAAGCCTTGTTAGGCAAAGCCTGGCAGAGGGACCGACCTGGAGAGGGGCCCAGGGAGCTGAATGAGAACTCAGAGGAGAGGAGGCAGTGACGGGCAGTGAGGAGCATGGAAGTGAGACCCTCTCAGGAAGTCTGGTGGGGATCATTAGTGTTGAAGGGACTTGGGGGGATTCCTGTGCGGCCCCGGGTGCCCCGGCCCTGCAAGCCCACCGCCCGCCAGCAGCGGCGCCTCACCGCCGTTCAGCAGCTGGTACTCCACACTGTAGCCCTGCAGCGCCTGCTCACACTGCGGCTCCTGCCAGCTCACTTTCAGGGACGTGGGTCCCAGGGCTGAGAACACCAGACGAGTGGGGGTGTTGGGCACACCTGCAGCCAAGCGCGAGCCTGAAGACCGGAGGCCACAGTCAGTGTGTGGCAGGAACCCTCCCTCTGACCTCCCGCAGCTGTCCCATCTCTGCTGACTGCCGGCCTGGCCCCTCCTCTCCCCCAGCCCGTCATCCCCGGAAGGGCAGAGGCTGTGTTAGGCATCGGCACTGATGGAGATGGAATGGAGGGTGAGGTGCTGGGCTTGGGCAGTGGCTGCGATGAACAGATGGGTGACAGATGGAGCAGGACAGCTGCGGAGGCACAAGACGGCCACCCCTGTACTACCTTGTCCCCGAAAGGGCGCTGCTGGCTGCCCAGCCAGGATTATAGTGTCCCGTGAGTCCCCAGAGGGAGGGAACACTTTCATCTGAGCCCGACTCAGGGACCCGAGGGCCCAGGACAGCGGAAGCCTGCTCCTCCCCTCTTCCCAGATGGGAGGGAGGCCTACGGCGGGACAGAACGAGAGTGAGGGCAGAAAGTGTGTCGGAGGGTGGGCAGCGGGCCTCCCGGAGCTGAAAGAGAAGCAGGGACCGGGCTGGGGGCGGACACTCACTGTGGGAGGACAGGGAGGTGAGGGTGGAGTAGTCCCTGGGCAGCGTGGCAGAGTGGGAGTGCTCCGTGCGGGTCAGCGAGTGGTAGTCCCGCGTGAGGGTGGAGGATGTGCTCAGCACCCGGTGGGCCAGGTGTGGGCTCAGGTGGGTGCCGTAGGCGGCGTTGGCCACAGTCATCCTGTTCAAGGAGTTGGCGCTGCCTGGGAAGTCCATCCGCCCGTTCAACAGGTGCTCTGTGGAAGAAGAGCGGGGTCACTTGGGCAGGCCTGTGCCGGACCCAGAGCCCCATGACGCAGGCGGTGGCCCTGGGAATTCCTGGGATTACCTACCCTCTGGGGCAGCCTCGCTATAAAGAAAACCAGCCTGTTGGCCCCCCCGGGGAAGAAGCTCAGTGTCCCTGGCAGAGTCCAAGGGGCCACACAGGCTTCTGCAGCCCGTGTCTGTCAGCTCTGCGGGATGCCAGCGGGGACCCTGTGAGCACTGCTGACCCCCGATGGGAGACCTTCTGCCCTTGCAGTCGGCCTGGCCTGGGGGAGAGGGCAGATGCCTGCCCTAGAGTCCCTTGAGACTTTGAGGGAGTCTCCTCGGGCACTAGGGCCTGTCCCCCGGGCACAAGGGACTGCTGAAGTTGTAAGCTCCCGCGGGCAGTCCTGCTTTGAGGAGACGCGAATGCCTGCCCCCGGGGCTCCCTCGGCTCTGGGGGTCCGCCTCCGCACAGTAGCACCTCCCCAGGTTGGGCAGCCTGACCACGCGGGATCAGGCTGGCCCCTGGCTGGGTGCGGGGTCGGGGCGCCCCGGGCAAGCCCGTCACCTCCGGGGGGCCTGGGTGCGGCGTCGCGGGCCAGGCCACCGCCCTCCCCGCCCGCGCCCCCGTCCGCGCAGTCTTCCGGGGGGCCGCGGGGCGGCTCGCCGTCGGAGGAGCGCCCGCTGCTGGCCGACAGGCGCGGGATGAGCTCCGGGGACCGTCGCCACGTGACGCGCCGCAGGTCCAGCTCCTCCCCCAGCAGGGGCTCGAACTTCCAGCTGCCGCCTTGGGAACAACGAAGGGCCGCGTTGGCACCGCCGGCGGGCGCGGGCGGCTGCGGGGCGCGGCGGGGCGGAGGCCAGCGACGCGAGCCCGTCCTCGGCTCTCCGGAATCCAAGTGTGTCGGGGGCGCGGGGTGGTCGCCGAGCAGGCGACAGGCAGGACACTCAGCCCTCGAGGGCCGAAGAGGAGCCCATCCGTGTGAGCGAGGATAAGACCCCAGGGGGAGCCCTGGCTCTGTCACCACCTGTGAGGCCTCTTGCTCTGAGCCTCGGTTTCCCATCTGTATACGGGAGAGATCACACTCTCCCCTGCCTGCCTCCCAGGGACGGTTCCAGAAGCCGCAGAGTGTGTCACAGACAGTGTTAACAGCTGAGCTTTCTTTCTCTCATACCCTCCAAACCCCTGCGGCCCTTGGGCTTGGGTTCCTTAATTAAGTCCAGGCTCAGCTCTGTCAGGGCACGTAGGTATTCACGGGGGGCCTGAGGCTTAGGCAAGGATGGAAGAAAGCAGAAATCCCAGAGAATCTTCACTCGTGGCATTGTGTGATTGGCATCCTATTTTACAGATCAGAACACCGAGGCACAGAGAGGGTGAGCACTTCATCTGATGTCCCACAGCAGAGCCAGAGCTAAAACTGAGCACCAGGGAGTCTAGCCAAGGACCCTTGCACCACACTCCAGGGAACCAGGAGGGAGGAGGAGCGGGACCAGGCAGGGGCCACTGCCTCATCGACCCTGGGCAGGCAGCTGCTCTGAGCTCCTGCGTCATGTCTGCCTCCTCCCACGTAGCCTTGTCCCCAAATGTCCTGACTCTGTGGCACAGCCGGTGAGCCTTCCAGGAGCAAGGCTGTGTTTCTGCACGGTCCCACGTGCACGAGCCTGCACGACTCTGCGCCTGCTCCCAAGCAAGTCTCTGCCTGCGCTTATACGCAGATGTGTACACGACTGCATGTGGGCCACGTTGGCTTCGTCCCCTCTACCCAGTGCCAGTATGATGCCTGCCAAACACTAGGCTCTGCAGATACCATCTGGAGCTGAGGGGGACTTCTAGTCTTGATCTCTAGGCCCAGTGGTCATTGGCCCCTTCGCTTTCTCCGGACACCAGTGACAGCCCTACCTCCTGCCCAGGACTTCCGCTCCTGGATCCCAGACCCACTCACCAGTGTCGTCGGAGATGCTAG